CTTACTGAGCTTCTTCAGAGCATCAACTGTGACTTCAGGGTCTCCACAGACTTTTTTTTCCAGCTCCTGCCAGGTGAGGAGATCAAGAACAGCTTGGGGCACCACCTTCAGCAGCCCAGCCTGCATGGCCATGATCTGAAAAGGAGATAGGGCAGGTAAGCAGCATGTCTTGTCCATTTCCCTGGCTCGTGGTTGAGCCTAGGGACTTGACTGGATGCGAGCCGTGTGACTGCTCAGCAAATGCTCCAAGGAACCTGAAGAAGGGAACAGGATCCCACAGAGATGCATCCCAGTTCATTCAGGAAGCCGGTGTCAGAGCTGGGAATAAAACCCCATGTCTCCCATGCTGCTACAAGTCACTTTGCTTCTCAACAACTCCATGGGCTCCAGGACCTCACCAAGAAGGACTGCCTACTATTGCACTAATGAGCACAGGGACACTAACCACGATGCATTTTACCAGAAACAGACTGGGAGGGTATGTCTCTGGGAACTCAGTGACCACTGATGCTATGGGACAGTGTTACCTGCTCCTTGCTCTCTTCTAGTCGAGCCTTCTGCACCAGGCGGATGAACTCCTTGCGATCCTCGTAGCACACCACAGTGCTGCTGCCATTTGTGATCAGCTCCACCATACGCTGGTCACTCATAGGTCAGCTCATTCCCAAATTTGAACTCAAAGGTGTCTTTGTCCATGACTTCCATCACCTCCAGGAGCTTCACCTGCCCAGGCCCCAGATGAGTGCTTGTTAGAGAGATGCCCAGTGGGCAGTGGTGTGCCCGAGCCCGCATCTCCTCCCTTCCCAAACAAGGGCTGGAGTGACTGCAACAGCAGCACAGCATGGGATATGCTGCCCTAGAGCTGTTTAGCAGACCTGGGGCACTGCATGCTTGAAGCAGTAGTCAGCATGGCTACACCTCTATATTAGCTATAGGATGCATTAAATGCTAAGAGCGCCCTTTTTGTGCGTGTTTCTTTGACACATCATAGGAGGAAGCAAGTACAACATGAGGACAGGGACACAAATCACCACCTTGCTGAGTGCCACAAGGAATAGGATAGGCACAGCCTCCCAGTCCCTCTCACCAGCACAGAGTCCACGGCAGGGAAGTCTTTGCTCCAGCTGACCTCCTCCCCTGTTAATTGTTTCCATACAAAGCCAGGAAGAGCCAGGACCTGAAGGAGAACAGGGATTTTGCTGAGTCTGTGTGAAAGGAGACATCCCCAAAGATAGAGATAGGGCTCAACAGCGCAGAAACAAAGGAGCTTCCCTGCTCCCCCTGTCCACATGCAGAGCTCATCATAACCAAGCAAAGACCAGACACCCTCTCCCAAGCTCCCAGCAGCATCTCCCAAAACTCAGGCTGTGAGCTCTCCTAACCTCTCAGCCCCAAATCCTGGCAAACACCTTTTGTCCCAGTGTGTGATCATAGAGCCCTCCCATGCTCCTGTCGGACAGGCTGCAGAAGGGGGCTAGCAACTCCCTTTGCAGCAAACCTCCACACAGGGATGAGGCTGAAAGCTTACCAGAAACTCCTTGCCCCTCAGAGCTGCTCCCATGATCTGCCCGATCCACTCATATTTTGGGAAGTCTTTACAGGAGGGGTTGGGGACGTACATGTCCCTGGCTTCTCCAGTGCTGTTACCCTACAGGAGTGAGAGGCAAAACTCCAAGTCACGATCTCAGCACAGCATGAAGCACCACAAACTCAGTTCCTGCAGTGCCTCTGGGCACTTCTCACAACAGAAGTGGGCTAAACCCCCCATCCTCCTTGGCAATATTCCTAGTGAGAGACAAGTATCCAGGCACTTGTCAGCATATCCTAAAATGAGGTGCCACAAAGCAATCTATACCCAACCCTTCGCAAGGAAAAGCTTTGGACCAGCGAAAGTAGATATGTCCCTGGCATGCAGGGGGACAGGGACAGCACTGCATTGCCAGGCACAGAAAGATCTGCCTCAAATACCCCAACCCACAGCACCTGGTTGGATGTGCGCACAAAGAAGGGCAGAGGCACGGGGGTGTCTGCCGAGCTGGGACACAGCTCCTCTGACATGTCCGCCAGGCTGTCCCGAAAACCACCACCTGCAACCCCAAAAGAAGGGCATTTTTAGTGATGTGAACTCCCCATGTGCTGACCCTCAGAATTATGGAGCAAAGATGAGGAATTCTGGTCCAACCTGGCCCAGGGCTGAGCAGAAGGCTCCTGTCAGAGCCTTATAGCACCGGAGGAAATAAGACAGGAGAAATAACATCCCTGTCTGGCCTGTGGAGGACAGCCAGAGGGAGCATTGGCACTGTCAAAGCTGCTGTTAGTGACTAATGGAGGTCTGGTCCCCATCCCAGCAAGCAGCACTCCTTACCCGGGACATGTCCAGGGGTGGCAGGACAAGGCAACCTGCCTTCCCTCTCTCCTCCATGGGCAGTAACACTGGGAGCAAACAAGAGCCCCTACAGCAACAGTCACCCCATCAACCCCCAACTCTGCTCCAGAGGAGCCCTTGCCTCACACAGCCCCTACCTTGGTCGATGATGCCCTCTGCGATGAATTTACACTCCCACCACTGGTCATAACGCAACGGCCACCTGCAGAGAACCAGGCATCGCCTGAAGTGCTGCTCAAAGCCAAGGAGATGCTGGGGAGGCAGCAGGCACAGCAGGGACACCAGGGGACTAGGGTGGACCAGCCTGGGCTTAGGACAGGACAAGATCTCAATCTCCAGAGACAGCTGCATCCTCAGTAGGGAGGTGACACCTTGGGGAACAGGCCCTGATCCCATGTCTGAGCTAGCTCCTGCCCTAGCAAACCCTCTGCAGAGCACAGGACACGCACAGGCTTCCCAAACACCCTGCTGTGACAGAGGACATAGCTCCCAGCACTGCATGATCCCCTCCCTCCCCCAGACACCACTTACCTATAATCTAGAGGCTTTTCAAACTTGTCCGAGGGTTTCAGGCCTTCATACACCTGCAACAAGCAGAGAAGATCAAGGCTGACATCCCCTCCCCAGGGGAACCGGTGCCAGGTGAAGGCAGGAAATTGGAAGAAATCTAGTTTGCCCCAAACCTTTAAATACTGACTGAAGCTGATCTCTAAATGGTCTAGGAGCCCTTCATTTTTGGAAAGAGAACATAAATTACAGTGCTAACCACTGTATGGAGCTTTCTGACCTCAGAGGTACATTGAACACATATTAAACCTCACAGCAGTCTGGGCTGTTTGTGCACACATAGAGCAATAGATCTTTTGGAGGTGGGGGGAGAATGTCAATAGAAAGATCAGCATTGCTGTAAAACCACAACACAGGACTGTGTGCAGCTGCATTATTGTTGTCACACAAGAATTCTTTGCTGCCCTTTTAGTGTAACGAGATTGTTATGCTCTGCATTAGCAGCATGCCACAGAGAGCATTCAGGATAGAGCAGAGACTTCAACTCAGAGATCCCAAATCCCTCCTAGATGTTATTCCTGGATATGGGATCATCAGCACATGTAATTGTAGAGCCTATGAGTCATGTGAAGAGGCCTTGAGGACTCCAGGTATCTCCAGCTCCAAGTTGTCCCTTCCACCCACCTCTATACAGTTAATTTTGGATTTGGGATGCCCCGCTCTCCCCAGAACAGTTGGGACCCTTCCAGAAGGGACAGTACCTGGGTGAAGACAGCGTTCTTGCAGCTGGGGTCCAGGGCAGGGTTATCTCGGTGCTCCATAGCCAGGCGTCGGTTAATATAGAGCCGTGGCATGAAATTGGGCTTGCTGGTCTCTGAGTCCTTCAGACACTGGGTAATGAGAGCTGTGCGCCTCTTGGACAGCAGCAAGAACTGCTTGATATGCTGCCAACAGGTATGTCCAAAACATCAGAAGTGCCCAGCATCCAAAACACGTCACCTACTTCCTACTGAAGCCACTGCACCGCCAGGTCTCTCCCCTTCCCAGGGCCACAGCCTTCCACACACAGACACATTCTCCTTGACAATATTTGCTCCACCTCTGCCTCTGAAAGATTTTGCTTTCTGGCTTAAGGGAGATACCAAGCCCAGTCCTCTCTCCATCAGTCGTCGTCTGACACTCACACTCCAGTGTTGCTTGGACTCTCTTTCACCCTCACTCTCACCAGAACATCGGTCCTACTATCCCTCCTATTTGTAATCAAAGCAAGTTCCTCTAAACAAACACGAATCCTCAAATGCTTTGGGTTCTATGTTGAGCCAGCGCAGGAATTACAGTGCTTTCTGACACCAGCCTGGAAACACACGGAATGGGACTACCCCAGAAATGTCTGGCACATGTATTCTGGGAGAGGATGTAAGGAAAACAGACAACTGGAGGGACAAACTCAGTCTTACGAGAAAGATGGAAATCAAAAGCTTATTAAAGCCAGAAATAAGTTACTGGTAAAAGCCTTGCTGTTTGGACACAGCCAGCTCAAAGCTGCTGGCAGCAAGTGCAGGAACAGAGTGTCCTGGGCTGAGATCTCGGAGGGGATGTGTGTCCAGCTCACACGCCCAGTGCTGCTATGGTCCAAGTCCTTTTGAGGGTGAAGTGCTCTGGTTTGATTCTACTTGTTACCCCATAGCTATATGTTTTCACATCAGTGTTTTAGCAGGAAACTAGCCTCTAAACAATACCACTTTTCACAGCTTTAATGAACTGAGCTCAGCCAGGTATTTCCCTTGATCTGCTTTACAGGCAACAAGCACTGACTGCCTCCCTTGCCACAGCCCAAGCGCAATCACCCTGCCAGATTGATGCCCCACAAGACAGAGGGAATCGCTCACCTTGAGTTTGCTGAACGTGCCAACAGTGTGGTCCCAGGCTGGCACCAGGTGATGCAGGACACTGTCCAGGAGCTTGATAAACCTAAATCCCAAAGAAGAAGGTATTGCGACACAGGAGGGACAGGGATCTGCACAAGCCTATTCCAGACCAGACACCCCTGGACACAAGCAGAAAAGTAACAACTGATCCAAACCTAACCCAGCATGGTCTTTTACATCACAGAGCCTTTGGTACTAAATTCCCACTCTGGGCACTGCAGGGACCTTGCACCCTTTGCCCCATACACCGCACAGATATGCTACGCTTGCGACACACAAGGCACTGTGAACTTGAGCTGCAAAATTCCTCTGAAAGTGTAAGGGAGTTACTCCAGAGAGCCCACTTTGTTCCCAAATGACTCTGCTATTTTCTCCAGGGCCCAGGATGCCTGTCCCCAGGGGAGTCACACAGCTTTACAGCTTCGAGCCATACTCGTGCTGGAGACGGCACCAATCCCTGCAGGCAACGCCACCCCATTTGTCTGCCCCCCTCCATACAGTACCTTTGAATGAGCACAGCCCGTCGGTACAGCAGGTCAGGGTCTGTCCCTTCTAGGCGAGGGTAGCGCACTAAATTGGGCAGCTGGAACATGTCAGCACTGAGTCCCAAGTCCCTCTGTCGGGAGGATTTGATTTTGATGCCTCTGAGGCGAACATCAATCCCATCATCTGCCAAGGAAGACCATGGATGATACGCTAATACCATGAGAAAGCAAGCCTTTCAGCACGGGAGGTCTATAAGTAAAAGCACTAGGAATGTCACCAGCTCCACCAGCTCTGGGGCTGGGCACTCAGAGCCTGAAATACCTCTGAGAAAAAGCAGGGCATTTACAGAAGAAAAAAAAAATAATTGAAGGCAGAGAAAGAGGATAAAAGCTGAGAGCTTGCAAACCCCCAGATCCCCCTGGAGTTTCCCATGGTTCTTCTGCATCTCATCCGAAACAGCCCACAGGGCCAAGAAGTACAAGCCACAGGAACAAACTCTTAATAGTATCTTACAAGTGCATTATGGATGTGGCCATAACACCCAGCCCTACCTCTGCACTCCACAATCCGGATCTCAATGACAGGCAGGTGTGTTGTCATGTCCTCAAGGACGCACACATCCCCAATGTAGCTCCTGCAAACACAGCACAAACGAGGGCTGCAGAGCTGTTCCCTCGCCCATCCTGCCAAAATCCACTTGGCTGCTTGCAAGGGAAGAGGGTTTGCATCTTTTGAAATGGGAGCCTGCGGCAGGAACCCAGACCCAGTTGCCTACAACATGGCCTGTGTTGAATGCCTGAACCTGCTGGTGCCTCAGGTCCAGGCGACATGATCCCAATGGGTCCCAGAATCGGATCAGGAGAGCCCTGATGATTGTGCCGTCTGCTATTGTAGGCAGAGTGAACCCGCAGCTCAGAGATGGAAGATGCCTGTCCCAGGGCCCTGGTCCTCTTAAGCCAGGCTGGTGCTGGCATGACTGCTTAGGGTCGGGGTGTCCAGCACCTCCGGCCCCTGCAAGGACCATACTACCTTCTCCACCTCCATCTACTCACTCATCAATCCCGACGTCATTCAGTTTCTTCAGATTGTCCCCCTCGCCCCCATACACGGCGACCCGCTTGGGCATGAAGTTCTCATCGGTGGTATCTACTGTCAGCAGGAGCTTCCTGCAAAGGGAAGCATGAAATGAGAAGGTAACTGCATCTGAACACTCATTGCTGCTCCCCCTCATTGCCTGGTTACGCTTGTTATAAAGCACACGCAGCTGCTGCTGGGATCCCCGGGTACCTGTGACAACGCTAAGACCCCTTCAAGCCCAGAGCCAGAACAAGGCCTGAGGGGCAGGGAGCACAGGGCAAAATTGGGCCATGACGGACTCATGCAGAGAGCGGGGGCTGCAGGGCTCGCCCCAGCCACAAGCCAGCACACAGGGGAGAGGTGCCTCACTTGACAATGGTGCCTTTCTTCATGTTGAGCCGCACCCAGTGCTGGCCCTGGGATCCGTCACTCTCCCAGTATGTGTCGGCGTGGCTGTCGGTCAAGCATGACACATTGAAGTCCTCCTGGAAGAGGGCAGTGAATGAAAGGAAGATCAGATGGGGGTAGGATTAACTTCCCCTTAGTGGTTACCCTCGTCATGAATCTTAGAGCCAGAGGACATCAAACTGGCCCATTACCTTCGCTGGGCTGTGCACAGACACAGGGAGACAGAGCACACAGGACACTGGGGCTGACCCTCTAAGGTGCTCTGGGGTCACACACACAGCACAGAATATCAAACCCTCCCTAAAATCAGCTTAGCAGCTAATATTAGCATTTGCTTCTCAAACCACAGCCCCTCCAGGGGCCACATTACACAATATGCTGTATGACGCTCCCCAGGCTTCTCTCCCACATCCTCAAACACAGCCCAGCCCAGCCCAGAGCAGCACACCAAGCACCATCCCATGCTCCCCAGTCCCATGGCAGAGCAGGGCTGATGCAGCCTCATCCCTTTAACCCACCGTGTAGGACGAGACATCGATGCTGTCCACGTACTGCTTGACGCTGCCCAAGTTCTCATCCTCCTTCCCAATGTGATCATACAGGAAATGCACCAGGTCTTCGTCACATTCATAAGTCCATGTTGGGGGCACAAACCTACCAGGGAAAAGGGATTAATGGGTCTGGACAGACAGGGGCAGCCAGGCTGATGGGTCAGGGAAGGCAGGTCCATGTCCTGCTTGCCTTGGTCGTGCCCTGTTGTCTGCTTTGTGCAGGCTTATCTAGGACAAGACTGTGCCGAGCAGAGCTGTTCCCCACTGCCTGTCTTCCCCCCTCTCCCCCCAGTCTGCAGGAGACGGCTGTCTGAGCAACCAGGGAGAGACAGCGGCTTGCACGCAACCACAGCGGAAGCTGGGAAACAGCTCATACCGAAGCTTCTCTACTGCGGCCTCATCCTGCTCCATGGGCTTGGGCTTGGTTCGGGGGGGCGGGGGTTCGTTCGGTTCCCCCCCTTGCTCCCATCTGAAACAACCCAGAGAAGGGGGGAGTGAGAAAATCCCAAGGGAAGGAAGGAGCTGGTGGTCAAGGACTAGCTGGAAGGGGAAGATTTGGGTTTAAATGCCCACCATCCTCCATCACCTCCAGCCTCATCCGCCGCCCCTTCCTTTCCAACCATCTCTACTTCTTCTAGCCCACACCCCACTAGGCAGGTGACAAGCACAGTGACCAAGCCAAACCCGGTTAACTCCACATCTGGCGTCCCTATTGCCTCACTTCCATGGAAGAAGTGGCCAAGCAGGCCGGGGCTCCTCAGTCCAGGACAGGAACGGCCGAGGGGCAGCACACCAAAACCCCACGCAGCTTCTAGCCCACACCCCACTAGGCAGGTGACAAGCACAGTGACCAAGCCAAACCCGGTTAACTCCACATCTGGCGTCCCTATTGCCTCACTTCCATGGAAGAAGTGGCCAAGCAGGCCGGGGCTCCTCAGTCCAGGACAGGAACGGCCGAGGGGCAGCACACCAAAACCCCAAGCAGTTGGGCCTGGGTGAATGGGG